TAACAAATAAATCTACCATATTGTCTGATCACTTAAATAAAATTAATATAATTTTATGATCGGTTTATTTGTTGTACATAGAAGGGTGACTCTACTATGGATCCAACAGTTGGTTTTATAGCAAAACCGAAAAGATATTTATTTTTGGAAACTTGATATTTGTTGATCCAATTAAATAATTAAGTAATATTTAATTTTGGAAACTTGATCCAATTATTTTATTAACATCACTAGGTCAAGGTGTCACGGCTAATTGGAATATTCTCATTCTATATATTATTTATATATATAAAATTTAAAAAATAGTTATTGCCCGATTTGATGCTTGACCAATAGTTGATTCGATGGAATTAGTTAATACTGAATTACCAACTTATTAGATTAGATTATTATAAACAAACATCTTATTGCTAATTGAATTGACTGATATAGGATATATACCTCACTGAATTAACATTGTTGATCGATTTATTAGATTATTATACTAAATACTTGATAAATAATTAGCTACAATTGCTACATAAAAAAATATTAAAATTTATTTATAACCATCTAATCTAAAAGTTTCACTACAAAAAAATTGTTATATTCCAACGAAAAATTATATTGTAATATATTCCAATAGAAATTCCTGAATCTATTGTTTCAGAAGAAGGAAGGTTAGCTAGTGGTTATTCCTACTTTGATCTGGGGCTGCGGGCATGACTGAATTCATTGGGATGAGGATTGATGAATGGTCGCTAATCCTCGACTTCTTTACCTATACTATATGTTAATAGTACCTCTACTATACTTTTCTTCTTATGTTCCCAGGCTAGGTTAATGAAGTCGAATCATAAAGTACCAATTCTGAGTACATGCTATATGGCCGATTGCATTCACTCAATCCAATGCAGATAGAGATCAAGCCACCCGGGCCAGCTCAACCCGCCTCGCCAATTGGCAGGCTACAGGCCGGCTTGCCCCACTGGCTTATTTTGACAGCTCTATATTTATCAAAGATAATTTATAAAAAACATGCTAGAAAAAAGTCAATGACAACTTGTGAAACTTGAAAGTCACCATTTGGTACCTAATCTCTATTTATTAATTGTCATTTTGTGGAAACATGTCTTGGGATGATCGATAGGCTCCATGTCACAAAATATATAGTTAGTCATTTTAACTTGTAGAATATGAAGCATACATTCAATTATTAATAATATTGAATCATATTAATTTTTCCATGTTGATTTCTAGTCTCTGCTTTTGGACCTACCGTATCATATCATGCCCTCGACCTGTACCTTTTAGATGGACTTAGATAATTCCAATAGTTATTTTTTCAACGATTTTTTACTGTATGAATTTTTGTGGGAAATACAATTTTTATTCAAATTTTTATTTACACAACCGTTGAAAAATCTACCGTTGGAATCGTCAAAATCCAACGAAAATTCTAATTGAATATTCATTCGAACTGAATATTTTTATTGGAATTTTCGTTAGAATCTATTGAAAAATTCCAACAAAAATAACAGTATTGGAATAAGGGCGGAGCCACCCTAGGGCTAGGCTGGGCTCTAGCCCCATGTCCCAAGGGAAAAAAAAAATTGCTAACCTTATTTTCTAAAAAATTTTATACATAGACTCATTAGCCCCATGTAATTTTTTATGTAGCTCCATTTAATTTGGGCTGAATGTCTCAAGATTGAGTCAAAAAAAATTAATTGACTATAATGGTAGAAAAGTGGTGATTGTAGTGAGGAAAAAGATAATCCGTTATTGTCAAATGACAATCTTGTGATCTTATTAGATTTTCAGTTAGATTTATAATGTGGCCCAACACTTTGCCTTTTAAATATTTAATGGGTTGACTTGACAAATATAAAATGAGCTGAATAATTAAGCTTGATACAAACTTCTTCAACGGGCTATTTAATTAAGTTCGTCTCATTCTGCAGTTCGTTATCTATTTTCATTTATTTATTTTTTGTTAATTTCGCGTCCAATAATTAATTCGGCATCATTCCTAGACAAAGAGAAAACTCGTACAGAGTTGATTGCAAACATGTTCGACTCTATTTGTTTGATCGACAAGTTCGATTAGCTATTTAAGTTTGGCTTGTTTAAATATATAAGTGATTCGAGATTGAGTTTTCCCAACTCAAACCGACATATGTAAACAAATAATTTGATTCTAACCATGACCAAAATCGGTTACAGGTCGAAACCGTCGATACTGGGCCGAGAGCTGGAGGACCCTGAACTGTTGGTTATTGGTCGTCCGGCTCATTAAAAAAATAAAAAATATTTAAAAATAATATCTTTTTTAAAAAAAAGGTTGAACCTCGGGTTCCGGTTCTAGTTCGGAACCGAAACTGCATGTTCAAAATGTATAAACTATAAAGTATTGTACATGAACTGAACTGATCAAAACCACGGGCCGGTTCAAAACCCATGGTCAACGGACCAGTTTGTGTCGTCGGTTCGGGCCAAATCGACAGGCTTGGTCGGCCAATGATCATGTCTACTAAGTTCCAATAATAGCTATAGTAATATGCACTCTGGGTTAAAAAAAAAATATGGCTAGGCCCTGATTGGAATATCCATTGATAATGCTGTTGGAATTGCATTTAAATATATTTCCGTACTAATTATATCATAAATTAATAATGTCGTGCTTCTAGCAAAACATAATAAATAACTGTGATAATTTTAAATCAAAACAGTTCAACACATGAGTATATATGTGCTAGACAAAATTCCATGACTGCCGGTAATTTTGAAAGTCAACTCTCGATCTTTACCTAATCTCTAATTATTAATAATAATTTCTAAGTCATATAATGATAGGATTCATGCACGTACGCCATCACAAATGGACAATTAGTTAATGACTTAATCAAGTAGTCCAAATTGTTTATTAATATCCTCTATATATTAATCAGAACGCGCTCTGAACCTACGTGGTTGCTTCTGGTGCTTAAAAATCCTATGTGGCAAAATTATATGTTTCGTTATTAGACTTGGGTAAATTTTAATTTAATTCCAAATAAAAAATAATTAGGTTCGGATTACCATAAATATGTTGATTATTTATGGTCATGTTATATGTATTAATTGCATTTTAATATCATTCATTATTATTACTATTGAATTGTATATATATTTTAAAAGTTAATAAATTTTGTATTTTTTATCAATTTTACATATGTAATATATCAAATTAATCTTCTTTTGATGAGCTTCGATTTGACATCCATATTGTATGTATAAAAAAATAATTTATATTTATCTTTATAACAATAATAAAATTATTTTTAATATTAATTAGAAAAATAAAATTATTTATCAACTAATATATTTATATTTCAAGTAGTTATATGATATAAGTTATAGAAAACTAATATAATATAACACATGTAAGACATAAGTAATACATATCATTGTAAAATATATAGTAATATATTTTTTTTGTAAAAAAGTAAAATAAATTTAATATAGTTTTCTCATTAATTTTAAAATTTAAGAATAATTTTTTAACAAGCACCCATGTAATACACGGGTGTTGTACTGAAAGAAAAGTAAGAGCAACTCGAAAAACAAGAAGCCAAACATGGCAGCCATAAACTCAGATTTAGGGTTTGTAATTTTTCATATGTTCCCTGTTACATTGCTGCTAATATATATACTACCAAGATGAACTAATATGGATAAACATCAGCTAGTACGATGATGAGTATGAATATGATCCTAGCCTTACACATCACTAGCTTAGGGACACAATATCAAGGGCTGTAAAGCTCCCAGTACATTGCAGCTGGATATAGCCGTTAGGTTTGTCTTTGGTGTAATAGAATTTGTCTTCATCACGTGCTGCATGCTTCCCTCATGCTTGGTGTGTAAGATGGGCTTCTCCATGCATAAGTTGTTGGGCTCACGATTATTGGGCTGAGCACATGCATGATCCTTATCCTCTTGGGCTACATAATGGACTTGAGCTGATTTGTGAATTTCTCTAACATGTACTAGTACATATTAATAAAACACAAATATAGAATGTTGATCGTAGAATAGAGTCAGACTCGTTATAATGTTTGGAAAAAAAAAAGAAAAAAAAAATTACATACTTATATTAATAAGGCATTTTAATTTACTTGTGTTTAAAGTACATTATATTTTTTAAGATTACTTGTCACATAATATCATAGTAAATTATTTTTGTCACATTTGTGGTCATTTTAGGTCCATGTAGAGTTCCATATATATAATATCGTACGTGTTCTACTATTTTGTTTTCTTATTTTAGCCTTAAATTCAAAAAGTTTTCAGTAAAT